CTGTGCATCGGGTGGGGGTCTGTCAGCTCCAACCTCTGCCAGCCCACTCCAGCAGAAGTGTCCGTGGCCAGGCGGGGGGGAAGTGCCCCAGCCCCTCACCAGGGGCTGGAACTGCCAGCATCGCAGTGGGCAGCCTTGTCCCTCTGGAGATGGGGTGGACAAGAGCAAGAGGCTCTGAGCCTCCAGAGCCTGGCATAGAGAGGGAAAATGCCGTGGAGCTCTTCCACCCACTGCTTCCCATCTCTCTGGCTCGGCTCCTTGGGAAACCAGCCCTGCCTGGCTGGGCAGCCTCCTCGGATACGGCCTTGGGAGGGGAGAGGAATGGCTCCTTGCAGGGGGTCTGCAGGTAGCCACCCTCCCTCCCAGAGGGATCTCGGAGGGGCCAGAGTTCCTGCTGCATCTGGGGCAGGCTCTGCCCATCTGCAGTTGCAAGGTTATAAAAGGCAGCAAAAGGCATCTGCAGCTGGGAGGTCACCCACATCCCCAGTCTGGAGCGGCTGCCCTGCAGCCCCTTGCCGGTGCTGAGAAATGTTTGTGAGTGGGCATGTGCTCAGCCTCCCTGGGGAGCTGGGACAGTTCCTGTTTGAGGTGGGTAATGCTGGGTGATGGGCCTGGGGGAGACTGGATCCCCTCTGCTCCCATGCCCGTCCTCTCCTGGCAAGCTGTGATGGGTGGGATGGCCACTCTGCCCCAGGGGTGGCCGTGTCTCTGCAGGCAGGGCAGCCTGGGGGGTAGCCCCCAGTGTTCCTGGCTGTGGGTGCAGGTGATTTGGTGTGGGGGGGGTGTTGTGGCTCTCAGCATGGACAGCAGGGCTATGGGGCTGTGCTGCCACAGCTTTGGCAAAGTGCTGGGGACCAAAGGATGCTCTGGAGCCCCTTGGGGCTGCCACAGTGGTGGGCTGAGAGGGGAGGAACAGGCAGTCAGGTAAGGAGGCAGGGGAACACGAGGACATGAACCCAGCAGTCCATGTCAGCTGAATTGTGCCTTCCTGTGCAAGGAAACAGCTTCCCTTCAGTGCGCCGGGGGGCTGGGCAGTGTCTACGGGTGGTGCAGCCTTGACACGGGGATACTGGCTGTGCCCAGTGTGGTGAACCCCATCCCCGCCACTGGCTGTAGGGCTTGAGATGCTGGGATGGGCTGGGCTGGTCTCTCCCCAGGGGCACTGCTCCTGCCAGGGTGGAGGGACCTTTGAGCTGACCCTGCAAGGGCTGCTTGTGGGAGCTGGCTGCCCCACGGTGCCCATCCAGCGCTTGGCTCCCAGCCTTGCTCAGCTCCCCCCACCCAGCCCAACGCTGGCATAGGGCGGCGGCACTGAACAGCTCGGCCGTTGTGCTTGCCGCTGAGCGCGTCCGTGTGAGTGCCAAAACTCCCTGTTCCTGGGGGTGTCGACCCGCTCCCCCCTTCCTCCCAGATGCTCAGTTGTCCTGGAAGCCCAGCCGTGGAGACAGTGCTTTCACAGCCTGCCAGCCTGGCACGGAAGGGAAGGGCATCAATGGAGAGGCTTCCAGCCAAGGTCCCCTTTGTGTCCCCGTGCGACCACGATCTCTCCTTGGCATACATGCTGCTCATGCTACTGGGTTTGGATGCTGATGCTGGAGCCAGCAGGGTCCTGCTGTGCCACCCATCACCGTCCCAGCAAGAGCTGCCGGTTCGGGACGGAGCGGTCTCCACCCCTGCCTGCGCCTCTGTCTCTGTCTGCGTGTCTATCTGCCTCGCAACGCTGTGTGTCAGATGCTTGGGGCTGGGAAGTGGTCAGGTTTGCTTGGCAGGAGCACATAGCTGGGACCGTGCAGCTCTGTCCTGAGTGCTTGGTCCCTTTGTCACCGTCTCTTCAAAGTGAGCTGGGTGTGGAGGGGCCGGAGGTGGTGGCCGGGCTTGTAGTGCCTCTGTGGTCCTCCAGGTCTCTCCTCCCTGGGTGTGTTGCCTATGTTGAGGTTGGTTTATCAGCAAGGGTGGGTGGGAGGGAGATGGGGCTGGCACTGATCATCTTGCAGACCCCAGGACAGCCTGTGTCTTCCCCACGCTGGCTGTGAGCAACAGAAGCAGCCACCTTGCTAGCGTGGGGACAGCTGGGCGCAGGCTGTCCGGTGGAGCAGGGGCTCTGCTCTGCTTCTGCCTGAGCTAGGGGTGGTGAAGCAGCACCCCACTGGTTAAATGCTGGTTTATTTTGGTTGCTGCTTAGCAGATAAGTCCGTAATTGCCATATAACCATTGAAGCCTGTGCCATGGGCACCCAGGAGATCAGCTGGGCTCTCTGTGGGTGTCCCAGCCATTTAGGATAGGGCACACCACTGTGTTTGGCTCTGCAATGGGTCCTGGTGCTGGGCACAAGCTGTCCTTCTGGCTTATGACCCATGGCCAGACACATAGCGGGTTGGCTGGCTGTGTCCAGATACAAGTGAGGGAGAAGCTCCATTGTCACGCAGATTGGGACCTGACAACATCACACTCAGTTCTTGTGGACCCATGGACAGACAGGACATGGCCAGCATCTTTTTTTGTAGCGGTGGGGACAAAGAGTGCCAGAATGCACTCAGATGGTAACTGTGTGACCACCAAAGTCTCTGATATCTGTTGCAGAGCAGGGAAACTGAGGCAGAGCACAGCAAGCGCTGCCAACTCCCCCAGTGTCACCTGGTGGGGCTGAGGACAAGGTTCAAAGAGAGAGCCTGTGTTGATTCTGCAGATGATGATGCTGTGTTTGGAGGAGTTATTGTGGTGCCTGGGCATGACTCAAACTACACATGAACACCTACTTGGCCTGACCAGGGCCTCGTGTTGCCCAGTGCCTGGCATGGTGATGTTCCTCCTGGGAGGGCAGGGATGGGACACCCTGGCGTGGGAGAGCTGGGACAGTTTAACAGTGGGGCGCAGAAAGAGCAGCTGCACGGGCCTAGAGAAACCGTCTGTGACGTCTCTTGGTGGCCGCGTAAATCTCCTGTGGTGCTGGGTGTCACCTCTGTGCTTGTCTATGTGGGGCTGTGCCTGTTGGTGCTTGTCCCCGCCTTCCTGTTCCATGTGCCATGCTCTTGTGGTGGGGGTCTGTAGCATTGGCACACCAGCTGGCAGCAGCTCCCAAGGACACCTCTGGGTGATGCTTGGCTGGTTGCTTGGAGAGCAGGACCCTCCGGGGTGGTTCCCACATCTCCAGTCACTCTGGGGAGATGGGACGGCGTGGGGGAGCATGTTAAGGACTGGCACATGCGTCCCCTCCAGCCCCGACAGGTCCCCTGCCTGTGAGAGCCAGGATGAGTGATGGGGTCCATCGGGTGCTTGGAGTTGGCTGGGCAGTGAGGTTTGGGGAGCAGGAGTAGGGAGACATCGGTGTTGGCGTTTGGACGGCTGTAACAGCCCCAGCATGGCCAGGCTCGAGGTGGGTCCCCAAAAGCCCTGTGGAAAATTCATGTGCTCACATCCCTCCAGTGCTGCTGCTCATCCGCTCTTCCAAACCCATGTGCACATATTTCATCACCTGGAGGGGGTGGGAGGGGGAAGAAAGAAATCTTTTGCTGTTCTTATTTTTCTTGGGAGGAAAAAAAATTTCTAAAAATACTGTGATTCCACTTTGTTCCTCTGCCTGTTCCCTGGTGACACTGTCGCTGTGCATGTCTGGAGTGGCGCCGGGGAGGGGCACATTATGTTGGTCGAAAAGTAATTAAAGCTGGGGTTAATTTTCCTGGAGGAGGGTGGGACCCTGGGAAGGCGACTGGAGCAAGTCTAGGGCTGAGCACATCAGAAGCTGCTTTCTATTGTGGCTGCTGAGCTAAATATACCCATGGGCGCACATAGCTGTTCCCACACGTCTGCTGCACAGGCTCCCGGCAGGGTGAGCAGGGTGCTCATGCTGCCTCCCGCCCCGCTGGGGACACCCTGTCCCCCCAAACACAGTGGGTTTTGGCTCTCCTGGGCTTTGCTTGCTGCTGGCCAGGCTGGTGAGGAGCCGTGTCTCGTGCAGAGCCCCGATCTGTAAAGGGTCTGCTGCGGTCACTGCACCAGTTTGCCAGCAATGCGGCTTTGGAGGAATTAATAGCTGTGTTTATGAAGCACCCAGGGAGGGGAGATGTGCAGTCATTAGCTCTAATGAGAGCTGTTTGCCATGGTGCTTGGTTCTGCACTCCCTCTTACTCCATGAGTCCCCTGGGACCAGCGAGATTCCCGCAGCCGGCACATCCACCGAAAGCCAGAGCTGCTGCAGCCCTAACGCGCACCAGTGCATGTGCTGAAGCAGAGCTGTGCCTGCATGGGTCCGGCTGTTCTGTACCCACATTTCTCGGGAAGGATTGCGTGGTGGATGGGGATGTGGTGGTGCATACCGCCAGAGCACAGCCTTGCCTGTCCCCTTGGCTGAGGACAGCCGTGGGGCTGGGCGGTAGTTTGGTTCAGGCAATTGTTTTGGTTCTGGGACTGTTTTGTCATGTTTCTGCATTTTGCATTTCAAACCTTTGTAACTGCAGCTTGACCTCGCTGCCTCTCAAGCAAGCGCAGCCGGCTGCAGTGTGTCCCGGCTGCCCGCCCATACCCTCCCAGTCCCAATCAGGGCTGCTTTGACATACTGATCAATGTCTAGTGCAGTCCAGAGCTCGCTGCCTGGCTGGGGGCATCACGGTGAAGGAGCGAGCCTAGGCGTGGGGAGGCTGGCTGGCCCTGCATGGGCCATATTCAGCTGTTGGTGCAAGTGCAGTTTTAAATGCAGGTTGCACTGGGTCTGCCTATACCCAGCCCTGACTGTCACTTCAGCTGCGGAGGTGGCTGATGGCATCACTGACATGAACCAACCTCTTTTCTCAACCACAAACGGACCAAGGTTGTTGCTGAGTGCAGGAGTCGAAGCATCCCCTGCACTGTTTGCTCCATGCTGCAGGCAGAAGTGCTGATGGTCCCCTGCCCACAGCAGCCACAGTTCCAGCATGGGCCATACTTGCATCCTCAGGATCAGGCTCGTGTCTGCCAAGACTGGGGTGAGCCCTGAGGCTGCCCTCAGCCCATATTTCTTCCTGCAGGATCCGTCCACAGCTGTCCAAAGAGAAAATAGAGGGATGTCACATCTGTACCTCGGTGACGCCTGGTGAGCCGCAGGTGCTGCTGGGGAAGGACAAGGCCTTCACCTATGACTTTGTCTTTGACCTGGACACATGGCAGGAGCAAATCTACACGACGTGCGTGGGCAAGCTCATTGAAGGCTGCTTTGAGGGCTACAATGCCACCGTGCTGGCATACGGCCAGGTACATCCTCTGGCACAGGAGTTGGGCCCTCCTGCAGCACTGGGTGCTGGGGATGCTGAGATGCCACCTGCGGAGGTTAGGGAAGGTGGGGGGTGTGGATGGGACAGGGAGTTGTCCCTGGGCTGGGTGAGAGCTGGGGCAGGGGGTGGCCTTGGGTGGAAGGAGAGGGAGGCAGGGCTGGGGTGGGAGCAGGAGAGCTGGCGGGGGGGGGGGGGGGGGGGGGGAGGTCAGAGGAGCTCGCAGAGGCATTTGGGGAGCCTGGGGTGTCAGGGGGAGGTGTGGGGCACAGTGGGCACAGCTGAGCCTGGGAGGGCCCAGCCAGCTCTCCCAGCTGCTGCCTTTTTGCAGACTGGCGCGGGGAAGACGTACACCATGGGCACTGGCTTCGACATGAACATCTCTGAGGATGAGCAGGGCATCATCCCACGGGCCATTGGCCACCTCTTCAGTGGCATCGAGGAGCGCAAGCAGGCAGCCCAGAGTCAGGGCGTGGCAGTGCCGGAGTTCAAAGTCAGCGCCCAGTTCCTGGAGGTGGGTGACATGAGGTCTGGGTGCCACTGTGGCCCTGCCCTGTCCTTTGCTCAGCTTCCCTGTCCTGGGCTCCTTGAGTCTTCCATGGCCCGACTGCTCCCCAGCTGAGCTGGATCCCACAGCAGGTGTGTGGCTGGGGATGTGTGCCAGGAAAAAGGAGACTCAAAGCACCTGAATGTTGTTGACCTCATGTTGGCCACAAACTGGGGTGGCACTTTCTTGGCTGTGGGGAGCCCTCTCCATGGGGAAGGGGCTTGTGCCTTAGTCCACTGGGGACTCTGAGCTCACTTATTCCTGTTTGAGGTAGAGGATAGTGGCATACCTGTTCCCCTGGGTCTGGACCAGTGTTCCCAGCGAAAAAGGGAGAGGAAAAAGTGCCATTCTTGTGGGGATTTGAGGAAGGGCTGTGTTATTTCCCATGTGTTTTGCTGCATCTTTGACCTTGAGAGCACTTCATTGCATCCTCTCCCACCTCTGCTTTGGCCTCTCCATTCCAAAAGCCTCTTCTGTTAACCGCTTCTTTCCCTGAAGAAGTTTGTCCCAAAAGCCTGTGGACCTTGTGTATCTGCAGTGGTTTCCCTGGGGGCTGGTCCTGGGGTGAAAGTATAAAGGTGTTCAAGATGGGAAATGTTTTAAGGCCTGGTGAGAAAACATAGGGTGGTGTTGAGCAAAGCTGAGCTCCTGAGCACATGTCATCTGGTTGGTGTCCTGATCTGGGGTACATCCCAGAGGAGACAGACAGGCAGAGAGACAGGCCCTGTGCTGTGATTTTGCCTCCGCATGGCTTTGGTGGCCATCACAACTGGGTTCCTCCAGATGCCAATGGCCTGGAGAGGGGAAGCAGTACCCAAAGTTACCTCCTAGCTTGGAGGGCTGACCTGTTTGTCAGAGAAATCCTTCCCAAATAGCTTTCTATCTGCAGAGCCCTTGCTAGCTCCCATGGTGCTTTTGTGTGCAGCCACATCCTTCCCTCCCCACCACTTGGCCTGTCTGAGCTCCTGGCTGCCTTCCCACGCATCTTCAGCCTTGTGAGGCTCCACTCTGGGGAACCTGTGGGCTGGGATGGAAATGGAGACAATTTCCTGCCTCTGCTGAAGACCTGATGGGAGATGAACCTTGTCAGGCTTTCTCCTTGCTGAAGAGTCCCCTAACTCTGTTGGGGTCAGGACATAGTCATGCCTTCCCTGGGCTATAGGATTGGATACTGGGCTTCAGCCCAATTTATGCCCCGTCACCCTGTGTGACACACTTTCCCTTCCCTCAGCCTGCAGTATCTGCCCTCTAGGAGAGACTCTGCTGTCCAGCTATAGTTTCCCTTGCCTCGGGGTCTCCCACTCAGTTTGGGATGACCTGACACTGGCCCAAGGAGCTGGGTAGCCTGTTAGCTGGGGTTGGGACCCATGAAGAATGAACACTGGGGAGGGGATTCCTGTGCTGCCTCTGTCCCAGGTGATCCTGGGGAGCTTCTCTGCAGACCAAGAGGTTTAGCAGAACCCGGAGGCACCTGGGGTGACAGAGCAGTGGCCCTGTATGGGGTCACACCAGCTGCCCTGGGGATTTCCTGTAGCCTTTCTCTCTCTTCGCCACCTCTGACGCATGGTGGTTCTGGCTCTCAAAATAGCCTCAGAGAGGTTTGTCCAGTGCCAGTGGTGGAGGATGTCAGCAAGTCTTCCTCTGCTGTGTTTCAAAGTTGCTCATCATCATGGTCGCCAGGCCAGCCATACCCAGTGGGACACTGGCAGCCCCAGGGGCAAGGACTTGAAGGCTTTCCAAGGGCCCTGTTACATGTGGGGAGAGTAAAAACCCATTCCCTGATGACCCAGTGACCAAGGCTGTTGGAACCTGTTGAGGGCTTTGCCCACTGGTCCACTGGGCAGGCACAGACATCAAACCGAGAGGTCTTGTGCCACCGTGCCCTAGACCTGTCCTACAGCCACCCTAATCTAGGCAACCCAGGGAGGGTTTTGTGGAGATAATGTCTCTCCTGTGCCATCATGGGCACATCAGACGCTGGTACCGACCCTGCTGTCCAGGCAATGGTACAGGATTTGGCCCTGCTGATCCCCGACCTGTGACTCTCCTGGGAGCAGGATGTCAGAGCGGGGTTTTAACCTTTGGGGAGCCTGTTTGCACCTGGGACAGCCAGGGATGGATCAGCCTAATCTACCCTGCTGGCCTGTGGTCCTCAGGTGACCCTGCTCTCTGCACTGGGATGTGGGCGTGAGAGGGTAACGTGTGGCACTGAGTGCTGGTGACAGGCAGACAGACAGACATGGGTGTCCCTCCACCCCAGGGTGAGAGAGGGTGCTGCAGGGTCAAGATATGGATGGGGGCATCCTCTGTCATCTCCAGGTCCTCAGGGCTTTCCATGCTTGTTCTGCAGTCCCTGGTCCCCCTTGTCCCCTTCCCACCTGGCAGAGGTGACCTCAGGGAGCTGTGATGGGAGAGGGGCTCTGCTGGCTCCTGTGGCCAGGGGCTCCCTGGGTGAGCCGGGAAGGCTGGGGGGCTGTGTAGCTCCTGGGTGTCCACTCAGGCTCTGGGGACAGGGCTCTAAAAGTGTCCTGGTTCATGCACAGCTGCTCGTGTGGGCCAGGACAGGGTTGGGCAGCTGGAACCAACCCAGACTGCAGCTCAGAGCTTTGCGGGGCAGAGAGACACATGTATGCACCCATTCACACATGCGTGCATACACATACCATTCCCCTGGGCATCATGCCCTAGCTGGGCGCCCGTGTGTGCAGGTCAGAGCTTGCCAGTGCATCATCTCCTGTCTGCACGCACATGCTTGTGTGTCCTCTCTGACCCTTGCAGGCACACCAGCTCTCCTGGTCAGCCTTGCCTAAGCACACATGTGTGCACATATCTGTGAACACGCGTGCACTCCCAGCCAGGTGGCTTGTCCTCCTGGCTCTCAGGACTGCTGCAGCAGGATGGCAGAGGGCAGCTCCTGTCACTCCCACTGTGCTGAGCTCTAGCAGCCTCCTGCTTACTACTACTGACCCCATACCTGCCTCCACCCCACTCAGCTCTACAACGAGGAGATCCTGGACCTGTTTGACAGTGCTCGCGACCCTGATGCACGTCACCGTAAATCCAACATCAAAATCCACGAGGATGCCAGTGGAGGCATCTACACCACAGGGGTCACATCACGCCTCATCAACTCACAGGATGAGGTGGGTGCGGGATGGGGCAAACGTGGAGGAGGGGTGGCAGCTGGGTGCCCACTGGCCAGGGGTGTGCTGTGTGGGGTAGCCAGGTGAGGAGAGGATCTCACCTGAGGTGGGACAGAGCAGCCCCGGGGTGATGCAGGGAGAGGTCAGTGTGCCTGTTGGGTTGTGGCAGGGTTCTGTCCTGACTCCCTAGAAGGGTCCTTCAAGGTTTCGTTCTTCCCTGCCCCGTGTCATTGTAGCTGATCCAGTGCCTCAAACAGGGGGCTCTTTCCCGCACCACCGCCAGCACCCAGATGAATGTGCAGAGCTCCCGGTCCCACGCCATCTTCACCATTCACCTGTGCCAGATGAGAGTGTGCACCCGTCCGGAGCTGGTGAGATGTGCTCCTGCCTCATGGCCGGGCTGTTTCTGGATCTGATACCCAGGCAATGTGTGTAGATCCCTTGGAAAGGGGAGAGGGTTTGAAGTCTTATAAAGAGAGGCAGAGCTTTGTCTTTCTTCCTTGCAGTCATAGTCAGCATTAGCATTTAATGGGAGCTGAGATCTGCCCTGGAGCAGCCCCATCCAAGGCAGGGATGGTCTGGCCCAAGGCAGGGATGGCCCAGAGCAAGCTGCTGTTGGTTGGGAGCCTCTACCCCATCCTTGAGGGGCTGGATGTAGAGGGTGAATGCGCAGGCTTTTGCTTACATCTTAGTGTGGTCAAGGGAGCTCCTGCTTGCTCTGGGTCCGTAGTGGTGACCCTCTCCATGTGTGCCTGGCTGCAGGTGAACGGGGAGGTGACCAGCCTCCTGGATGAAGCCCAGCCCACCACTGAGTATGAGACCCTCACGGCCAAGTTTCACTTCGTAGACCTGGCTGGCTCAGAGAGGCTGAAGCGAACGGGTGCTACTGGCGAGAGAGCGAAGGAAGGCATCTCCATCAACTGTGGGCTGGTACGGCCCTGGGGACCGGTGTGCAAGGGAGGGGAGAGGCTCCTGGGGGAGCCTGCATCACATTTGGGTCCTGCTTGGAGCTGCTCCGGGCTGTTGGGGTTGCTGCTGTCTCTGCTGGTGTTTATGCTACCTGGCCCTGTAGGCAGGAATGTACACAATCCAAAATACCAGTGGTGAGTGCACAGCTCTGCTGCGGAGGGCAGGACTATGGGGAGGGGAACAGGTGGACACAAGGGTGTAAGTCCCCAGAGGGTCAAGGTCTGCTAACTTCAGCTTAAAAAAAAACTTCCACGGCTCGATGCTGCTCCTCAGTGCTCATGGGAGAGAGGCACAGCCCAGGGAAGGGGGGCGAATGCTGAGACTGGCAAGGGAGGCTATATGCCTCAACCTCTTGCACTCCAAACCTGTGCCACAGCACATGCCCCAGGCCTGATGTGCTCTCTATGTGACCACTGTATTCTCAGCAGGGGCTGAATCTGGGGGGGGGCTTTCCTTTGTGTTGGTAGCTGGCCTTGGGGAACGTCATTAGTGCCCTTGGAGACCAGAGCAAGAAAGTTGTGCATGTGCCCTACCGTGACTCCAAGCTCACCCGCCTGCTGCAGGACTCCCTCGGGGGCAACAGGTAAGGGGGTCCCAGGCTGGGGCTGAGCCCCGGGAGAAGACTGCAGGGGCTGTCCCACTGCAAATAGGGCTGAGGGTCTGTGGCACTATCTAGGATCTATTTCAGGACTCAAATGCCTAGTGGCTTGCGTGGTGGGGAGGGGATGCCTCCTGGCAGCAGTGCATGACTTTGCAGATATAAAGACCTTGGCTCCTCGTGAGTCCCAGGCACAATTAGCCAGCTTTGGCAGAATTAGCTGGTGCAAAACACTCTGGAGCCCTCACAGATCTGGAATTTGTCAGGTGACATTGCCCAGCATGGGGTGGATTGAACTCCTTGCCTGATTTGGAGGTACTTCTAAGAGCTCAATCTTCCTCAGCAATCCTGGTGCGTGTGGGCTGGCTGGTGCAGGTTGGCTTTGCTCAGCGCTTGTGTGATGTGTTGCTCATGGGGTCTTGCCAGTGCTCTGGCTCTGAGAGGGACTGAACCCAGTTTACACCTTGGTTTTAAAACACAGAAGGGCCTAGAATGGGTGTCTGGGGGCTTGTGGCCTGTGCTGGGTCCCAGGTTTCCAGGTGCTGAGTTGGCGCAGGATGGGGGAAACTGTCCTTTCACCCTGAACTTCACCTCCCCAAGCCAAACCATCATGATCGCCTGTGTGAGCCCATCTGACCGGGACTTTATGGAGACCCTGAACACGCTCAAGTATGCCAATCGGGCTCGCAACATCAAGAACAAGGTGGTGGTGAACCAGGACAAGACAAGTCAGCAGATCAGTGCCCTGCGGGCTGAGATCGCCCGCCTGCAGATGGAGCTGATGGAGTACAAGGCGGTGAGTGGTTGAGCGAGTGGTTGGTGTGGTGGAGGCGGGAGCAGAAAGCCTCCTCGTGTTTGAATTGGGGCGCTTTTAGCAGGAAAGACCCTCCTGCCTACCGTGCTCTGCCCCTATTGATAGGAGTAATTGCTAGGAGAGATCAGGAGGCTTAAGAGATGGGAGCTCAGCTCCTGCCCTGCAGCAGGCAGGACCTTGGGCAAGTCTCTTGGGGATGCTAAGGCAGGGAGAAGCCTTGAAGCATCTCTCACTCCCTGCCTGTTGAGCTCAGGCCTTCCTTGTCCTTAGATTTGTCCCTGCCCCTGCTTTGGTGGCTGGGGCTGCCCCCGCAGGGTGCAGTGGTGGGCCCCCATATCCCAGCTTGCCCTGCACTCAGGGACACCCCTCCTGTCCCCACAGGGTAAGCGGGTCATTGGGGAGGATGGCTCGGAGGGCTACAGCGACCTTTTTCGTGAGAACGCCATGCTGCAGAAGGAGAATAGCACCCTGCGCATGCGGGTGAAGGCCATGCAGGAGGCCATCGATGCTATCAACAGCAGGGTCACCCACCTCATGAGCCAGGAAGCCAATCTGATGCTGGCCAAGGCAGGTGAGGTTGGGCTAGTGTGTGGCATGGTGCGGCAGCCCAGCCAGGAGAGCTGGGATGGGTGCTGTTCTACGGCCCGTGTCTTGCCTTGATCCACCCGCGCCTCTGCTCCTGCAGGTGATGGCAATGAAGCCATTGGTGCCCTCATCCAGAACTATATCCGGGAGATCGAAGAGCTGAGGTGAGACGGGCATGGGAGCTGGTGAGTCACCTGGGTCCCTGGGCTGGTGGGTGCCACGGTGGGCTCTGCTTCCAGGTGTGGCTCGCAGTTCCATGCCTCCAGCATCACTGGGGTGAGTCATAAGCCCTGGTGGAGTAGCAACTGACTACACTGCTGCTACACTGGGGCTGTCGGAGTCCTAGCCTTGGTGCCAAGCCGTGCTTTGGCCATTGTTGTCCTTTGTGTGGACACTGATGGAGTGGAATATCCTGGTGGGAGTGCCCGGTGTCTCCCAGGGACTGCTGGCCCCCCAAAGCTGGGTCCCTCCCTGTCTCTTGTGCGATCCTGGGACCTTGTCTTGCAGCATCCTGACCTTCTGACCAACGTGAATGGGAACAGCTTTGTGGTGACTCTGTCCCTGGCTCACACCATCTTAAAACCAGGCAAGATCTCTTCCCCTGGGGACAGTAGGATGTCACCTCTGTGACCACATCTCATCTCCACTCTCTAGGACAAAGCTTCTGGAGAGCGAGTCCATGAATGAGTCTCTGCGTCGCAGCCTCTCACGTGTCTCTGCCCGTCCCCCCTACTCCATGGGCTCATCCCCAGCATCTGGCTTGGCTGGCCTGTGCAGCCCCGCTGCTCCAGTGGAGACTGAGGCCTCTGATGTCCTCCGACGGGCCAAGCAGGACCTGGAGCGCCTGAAAAAGAAGGAGAGGAGGCAGCAGAGGAAGAGGTGAAGGCAGCTGCTGTGCGATGTTGGGAAGGGAGAGGCTGCATGTCGGTCCCTGTCTGTCCTTGTGCGGTCAGGTATCCTGCTTCCCACATCCATGCTAAAGCCAGAGCAGTGAGACAGAGCCCAGATGCCTGGCTTCCCCTCCCAGCACTGCCTTGCCCTTGGTCTCCTTTTCACCCACCTTTTCATGATCCTGGAGACTGTTTTCCTCAAAGGGTCCAAAAGCAGGAGGTGAGGGGGGCCCTGTCAGGACCTGTCCCCGGGCTCCCCCCTGCTGGGACTCACCAACACCCCTCTGTTCTCCCCCAGCCCAGAGAAGGAAGCGTTCAAGAAGCGTCAGAAACTGCAGCAGGACAATGGGGAGGAGACAGATGAGAACGAGGTAGAAGAGGTGAGCAGGCTTCATTCTAATACTGAGCAGGGTGTTTGGGTGTGGGATATTGTCATTGCCCCATGTGGGAGTGAGACCAAGCCCAGCCTGGAGGCTGGAGAGGTTGTGGAACTGAGGACCCCCTGCTGGAGTAGGGGGGAGCTGGATGCTCCTCAGCCAGCCCTGCTGTGGAGCGAGGAGCCCACATCTTTTTGGGCTTGGTTCTCTCAACAGTGTATGCTGGGGGTCCAGAAATGGTGCTGCAGCCCCTGGGCATCCCGTGTGGGAGGCTGAGACCTGTTGTGGGGGCTACAGTCCATTGCTGTGGGGTGAACTCAGGTTTGGAGGAGGGAAGAGCTGCAGAGACAAGGGCAAGACCATGCTGAGGTTAGGCACTCGTGTCTCAGGAGGAGGAAGAACAGGATGAGAGTGGCTGCGAGGAAGAGGATGGACGTGAGGATGAAGATGAGGACTCGGGCAGTGAAGAGAGTCTGGTGGACTCAGACTCGGATGCAGAGGAGAAGGGTAAAGTGCAGAGCCACGCATGCAGCCCCAGGGTGTGGGGGTGCATTTGCCGCTGTCTCCTGGCACTGAGCTCTGGTCCTGGGAAGGGAAAGTCTGCTGGGATGCTGCAGCCATGACTCCTCTGGGGGGCTTTGAAAAGCACCAGGGTTGCTGCAGGGAGTCTCCAGTTCTCTTTGGGGTGTTGCTGCTCCCCAGCAATGTGGGGTCCCTTTGGCTCCCTCTGCCCTCTCCTTGTGCTGTGGCTCAGTGGGGCTGTAGGAGCGATGCTCCCCCATCCCTCCCAGCCTGACTGTCTTCCACCTGCCTCCAGCCGTGAATTTCCAGGCCGACCTGGCGGATCTGACTTGTGAGATAGAGATCAAGCAGAAGCTGATTGATGAGCTGGAGAACAGCCAGCGGCGCCTGCAGACCCTCAAACACCAGTATGAGGAGAAGCTGATCTTGCTGCAGAACAAGATTCGGGACACACAGCTGGAGCGGGATCGGGTCCTGCAGAACCTCAGTGAGAACCACCTCATCTGTGGGATCCCAGCCCTGCAGCATTGGGCCCCAGTCCCCAGTCCTGCCCAGCTGACTCAGAGCCAAAGCATCCACCCCCTGCATGCCATGCTTTCTCTGGTAGAGCTTTGCCATCTCCCTGCCTTTGCTTGAGCCCCTAGGACAACCCCCAAGACCTTGCTTGTCTTGCCGTGGGAGTGGGAATAGTCAGCTGGAGAGGTGGCTGGAAAGGATGGTGAGACAAAGCCTCTTCTAGCCTTGAACACCACTTCACGAGGTGTGGGAACACCTGGGGAAAGTGAGGTGCTGAGGGGCACATGAAGACCCCAAAGACCTAGTGGTATAGCTGATCTCTGGGGTCAGCAGGGCAGGATCACCCATGCGCATGGCTGCAGGTCTAGGTCTGCAGCTCCTCTCAGCCCAGCGACTGTGCTCTAACCCGCTGAGCCCTAACCCATCTCTTCCAGCAAGTGCCCACAGACAGACCCCAGACTGTGATGGGGCCAAAGCAGAGGGGTGAGGGAGGGGTCTAGTGGGATGGGGAGGGAGTGGTGGCTGGTGCCTCCAGGCAGGGTGTGTAGGCGCAGGAGGAGCCCGGGGTGCATGGCCATCACAAGCCCTCTTCTCTCTCCCCCAGGCACCATGGAGTGCTACACGGAGGAGAAAGCAAACAAGATCAAAGCAGACTACGAGAAGCGGCTGAAGGAGATGAACCGGGACCTGCAGAAGCTCCAGGCAGCCCAGAAGGAGCATGCTCGCCTGCTCAAGAACCAGTCCCGTTACGAGCGGGAGCTGAGGAAGCTGCAGGCGGAGGTGGCCGAGATGAAGAAGGCGAAGGTACCTGGACATGCCAGGGCAGGGAGGGCATCTCCTGGTCAAGCCTGGCTTCCTGTGCAGAAGTGGTGTTTTCCATTCTGGTGGCAAGTGCAGGACATCTGCCTGTCTGTCTGGTGGGTGGCTGCCCTGGGACAGGCAGGTGCCCACACCAACACCCAGTACCTTCCCGTTCCAGGTTGCGCTGATGAAGCAGATGCGGGAGGAGCAGCAGCGGAGGCGGCTGGCGGAGATGAAGAGGAATCGGGAGATTGCGCAGCTCAAGAAGGAGCAGCGCCGGCAGGAGGTGAGAGACCAGCCCGTGCGGGTGCCGCTGCGTGTCCCTGTGCAGGGGGGAACTGGCTGGTGGCAGATGGATGTGTGTCCTGCTCTGCACTCTGAGGTGCTCATAAATATCAGCCAGTGAAGCACAGCCCCAGCAGAGCGCACGTGGCTGGATGGCTCCCAAGGGCTTCCCACAGCTCCTAGTGTGGTTGGGGGAGATGCTGTGAGCTCCCCGCCACGCTCAAGGGGGAGCAGGCCACCGGGGCCAGTCTCCAAGCTGGAAACCTTCTCACTGTTAAAATCAGCAGTGAGACTGTTTGTGCCAAAGTAACTGCCCCAAACTTCGGTGGTGGGAGCCCTGGGACTGCGACCATCGCTGAGGTTTCTGGGCAGGACCCCGGGGATATCTCTCTCTCTCTCTCGTGCAGTTTCAGATCCGGGCTCTGGAGTCTCAGAAGCGGCAGCAGGAAATAGTGCTGCGGAGGAAAACCCAGGAGGTGAGGGGGAGGGGATTTGCTTCCAGGTAGCCCCCATTCCCCATGGGGGTCCTGACCCCAGTGCTCAGCTCACAGACACCCTGTCCTCCAGTGCCCACTCTGGCAACAGGTTTTCCAAAAGGGTGGGAGGATTTTTATGGCTCAGTAACCTGGTGGGAGATGGTTGCAGGCAGCAGAGGAATTGCCCATCTCCTGGGGCAGCTGAGCCCGACAGCAGGAGAAGGGGGAAAACCTCACACAAACGGTGTCCTCACAAATGAGGAGCCAAGGTCTTTATAGCTGCACAAATGGCCCAGGGCTTCAGGTCTCCAGAGCTGCGGCTCCTGGTCCCATGGGGACCTGGGGGTGACGGCTACAGGTTTGGGTTGGGGGTGCCTGTCTGACACCCTCTCCTCTGTCCCTCCTCTGGGCAGGTCTCGGCACTGCGTCGTCTCGCCAAGCCCATGTCAGACCGGGTCGCCGGCAGGACGAGCCAGAAGCCAGCCATGCTGGACTCAGGCGCAGAAGTCTCAGCCAGCACCACCTCCTCCGAGCCAGAGTCTGGTGCTCGCTCTGTCTCTAGCATCGTGCGTCAGTGGAACAGGAAAATCAACAACTTCCTGGGAGACCCCTCATCCACTGTGAACGGGGCTCGGACCACCAGGTCAGGGCAGGGGCTGTGTGGATGAGTGATGAGGCATCCCAGGACTCCCATGTCTGGCTTTTGGCTGGTGGTGGAGGTTGAAGGCCAGCATCTTATTGTGTGTTTGGCCCGTGTTAAATCACTTTCTCAGTGACAGGCTGTGCTGGCAGCGTGTGACTGAACATCACCTGGGCTTGAGCCCAGTGCTGGCCTTCCATGAGTGTTAAATGCCACAGCACAAACCCTGCTGGGCTCATCATTGCTAAGGGGCAATGGAAGAATTAGGCAATCCAGAAACAATGCAGATGCCTCCTCTGCTCCTGACCTGCCACAGACTAGACATCCTTTTGGGGCAAGAACAGCTTTCCAGGCATGGTGTGGCCAGTCACCCACATGTGCCTCTTCTCCCCTCTGGGTGTAGGAAGAAGTTCCCCAAGAAGGGGGTGAGCCAGACCTTCAGCAAAGCCGCCCGCCTCAAGTGGCAGTCGCTGGAGCGACGTATCTTTGACATTGTCATGCAGAGGATGACCATTGTCAATCTGGAGGCTGACATGGAGCGGCTCATCAAGGTGACCATGGCACTTGGGACAGAAAGCGCTGGGTGGTGGGTGTGGGGCAGGGGGACAACCATGCCAACAGTGCCAATCTCCCTCCCTTTTCCCCCAGAAACGCGAGGAGCTGGCACTGCTGCAGGAAGCATTACTGGGCAAGAGAGTGAAACTGCAGGCAGAGAGCCCCAAGGAGCAGAAGGGGCTGCAAGAGCTGAACGAAGAGATTGAAGTGCTGGGAGCCAACATTGACTACATCAATGATAGCATTTCTGACTGCCAGGCCACCATCATGCAGATCGAGGAGACCAAGGTGGGTGGCTGGACTGGTCCCAGCTGGCGGGGGACAGCAGGAGCATCCCTGGGAGGCGAGGGTGTCCTTGGGCACAGTCAGGCTGGGTGCCCCGAAGTGCTCCTCTGAGCTATGTCACACACTCATGCAACCGCATAGTCACTTCTCAGTTGGTGGTTAATTGTGGAGGGGAGTGCTGCCAGGTCCCTGCATGTCCATGCACAGGCTGCCAGTGCCCCATGCTCCATCGCCCTGGGATTATAGGAAAGCTGCAGCCCCTGTCCTGCCCATGGGGCTGGCGGTCACTTGTCCCCATGGGAGTTTCATGTGCTGAAAGCATCCCAGGGAGGACTGATTTTTTTTTCAACAGAAACCCTGCAGGTTTTGTGTCCTCTTTTGACACGGGGCGTGCTGCAGAGATGCTGTGCAGCTCCCAGCTCCCCTCTAGTGGCTGCAGCTTGGGCTGGAGGCTCTGTACTGTCCCTGGCTTGTCCCGGCTATCACCTAGATTGGTGGGGAAGAAAGGGTTGTTGTTAATTTACACTAGCCTTCGGGCCAGTGACCGGATCTGCTGCGGATTCAGGTGAGGCTGGTGTCTGCAGATTAGTGTCTAATTAAGTGTTGGCACCAGGATTTCTGTAGCAACACAGAAGCCCTTCAGGTTGCGTTGGCCATCTCCGTGGCCAGATCTCCCGCAGCAGTCACTCGGGCAGGCTGAGGAGAGTGAGCGTCGGGACTGGGCAGTGCTGGCAGGGCAGTGGAGGTGCTGTGCTGGCCATGGAACCCGTTCTTCTACCCCCAGCAGCAAAGCTCCCCTGCTGCATCCAATGCCTGTCCCTCCACATTTCAGGAGGAGCTGGACTCCACGGACACCTCAGTGGTGATCAGCTCCTGCTCCCTGGCTGAAGCCCGGCTCCTGCTGGACAATTTCCTGAAGGCCTCCATCGACAAGGTGCGGGGCCAGGTCGGGACCCAGATGCGCGAGGGGATTTCTCGCAGCTGGGGAGGGGAGCTAGGTGCCGGGGTGGGGACCTGGTGGCGGGGACCTGAAGCACCCGCCTGAGGCCCAGCATGGCTCTCCTTCCCCAGGGGCTGCAAGTGGCACAGAAGGAGGCCCAGATTCGCCTGCTGGAGGGGCGCCTGCGGCAGACGGACATGAGCAGCTCCTCGCAGAACCACGCCATCCTGGACGCCCTGCGAGAAAAGGCCGAGTCGCACCCCGAGCTGCAGGCCCTGATCCACAACGTCCAGCAAGGTGGGAGCCTGGGCTGGCGCATCCTTGGACAAGGCATACTGCCTGTGGGGCAAGATGCCCCACCTGTGCCAGCCCCCCAGGAAGCACCTGGAGGTGCTTTGGCTGGGACCGGTGTGCCCAGGGCTGCCCCGAGGGTGGGGACGGGTGGGGACGTGTGCTCTGGTCATCACACAGCAGGGATGAGGACCAGCTCCCCGCACCAACTGCCTGGACTGCCCCCTCTGCCACACAGTTCAGAGAGGGCTCGGCATGATCGGTCCCCTCTGCACTGCTGACTCACTGTCTCCCTCCTGCACAGAGAACGGCTACACCAGCACAGACGAGGAGGTCTCAGAATTCAGCCTGGCTTCAGATGGGAGGTGAGCACCCAGCCCAGCCCTGCCTGAGCTGGTGGTGGCTGGGGAGGCCAGGGGTAGGGTAGGATGTCTGGTGCCCCCCACGGGACCCCGCAGATGGACATGGATGAACAAACCCCTGCCTAAGCTTTCCTGTGGTACTCAGTTGTTGGAGCAGAGGTGTCTCTTAGACTCCAGCAGAGAGTGAAGAGTAGGTCATCCCTTGGAGAAAGGGTGCTGGGGAGCAGGGAGTGACCCAAGGAATCTGGTGGGCCAGTGGCAACCGACTCTCTGAAAGGACTTTGGCACTGAAGATCCATCTTTGCTCCCTTCTCCTTGCAGCGTCTCCCAGTCTTTCACCATGAAGGGATCAGCAAGCCAAGATGACTTCAAGTTCAAGGTTAGTTGGCCTTTCTGTGTGGCCCCATCCCAGGGAATGAGAGGAGGGATGGAGGGGCATGATGTTCATTGATGTTCCAGGCCTCTGCTCTGTAGTCTAACCCTTGGGGAGTCAGGCTTGGCATAAGGCGGTACGTCTGGTCTCTGGTTGGGGTCAGCTCTAGGCAAGGGGGAAGCAGAGCCTTCCGGTACTGTGGTCCTCTGAAGCACCAGAAACTTGGGAAACACCCACCACATCAGCCAATACCCTCCAGATTTGAGTGGACACCAAGGAGGTCCCTATGCAATGTTACATCCATTGTTGGCAAAGGTAGAGGAAAGTGCCCATTGTTCTGCACAGGCTGTCACATTTGCCTAGAGTATGGAGAGCCGGCACTGTGATGAGCATCCCAGCACAATACAAGGGGAACTCAGCCTCCTGTGTCCAGAGAGCACAAGCTCTTCCACCCCACAGATTGCTGACTGCTCCTGATGTTCTCCCCCATGCTGCCTGTACCTGAGCCCTCTGTCCTGCTCTAGGGAGAGCCCAAGCTCTCAGGGCAGATGAAGGCAGTGTCAGCTGAGTGTCTAGGACCCACACTGGACGTCTCCACCAAGAACATCACCAAGTCCTTGGCATCACTCATGGAGATCAAAGAGGATGGGATCAGCTTCTCCATCCGAGACCCCCATTACAAGGAGAAGGTGTCGCGCACCATCAGCCTGCCCACGCGAGGAAGCACCTTGTGAGCATGGGGTGATGGGTCTCTGGGCATTGGGAGGCTCGTGGAGACATGAGCCAGCAGGTAGGAAGCTGTGCCCTAGCTGTGGAGTTGCAGAGCAGTGAGGGTGAGCCCAATCCTGCATCTATCCAGACTTGTCTGCAGCAAGCAGTGATGGATTTCTCCAGTGGGACCTGGAGAGCATCTGGGAGTGTGTTGGCATCCTCTGCAGATGGAGAGAAGGGTACCTCAGAAGGAGGGAAAGAAGGGGGGCATGCAGGGGTCCCCAACTCACTACCCTGGGTTTTCAGCCTTCTTGAAGGCTTCTTGAGTTGCCAAAAGCCTCCGCAGTCATGCGGTGACTTGAGGCATCCTCTCATCTTGTGATTGCGACCCCAGGGCAGCCCAACTTGTCCATTTGCTCTGCTGGGGAAGGACATGGGTGTCCATCACAGAGACATCCCAGCAGGGGGAAAGGGACCCACTGTGCTCTGTTTCACTTGCTTTAGTCCCAGGCAATCCCGTGGCTCAGACACTTCACCTCTGACAAGGAGAAAATCCTATGACCGTGGGCAACCTGCCAGGTGAGCTTGGGAGCCAGAGGAATGGAAATATGGGGAGGAAGAGGCTGGGCAGCCCAGACAAGTGGGGAGAGATGCTGGCTGGACCAGCTCTTGCTGGGCCCTGGTGTGCCAGGCATCTCAGGTGAGCAGTTCCCAAGTCATGTGTCCTTCTAATCCTTCCTGGCTCAGGCCTCCAGATGTTGGCTTCACACCTCCCTCATCCCCACCCACCCGTCCACGCAACGACCGCAATGTCTTCTCTCGGCTCACAAGCAACCAGAGCCAGGGTTCTGCCTTGGATAAGTAAGTCCTGGTAGGGCGGGAGGGTCTGTGTGTGTGGGACCCACGCCATAACAGCAAATGGCATGTACCAGACCCCGTGGTGGTGTGTAGGAACACAGGACCTGCTCGGCTCCAGCCAGCCTCCTGCCACCGTTTTCACTCCCTGCTCTTCTTCATGAGGGAGCAGATGCTCTGCAAGGGCTCTGCTGTACCCTTGCCCTGTTCTGCCTGCTGTGTCCCCTCCGGGCTGGCCACTTGCAGGAGCTTGCAGCCCTGGCTTCTGGCTAAACCCTACCTGGCGAAAGGGCGATGCCAGCCTTCGACCACTGGAAAAGGCGATGGAGCAGAATGGGGTGAGGTGGGATGGGGGCTTGCGGGAAGCTGACAAACTGACACCAGCCCACAAATGCTGCTCCAGCCTCTCTACCTGCAGCAGGTTGGGCAGCTGCCCTCAACTTGGAGCACTGCTAGCAGCGCTGATGTTCCCTGATGGAGACCTGATGACTGATTCTCACATGCCCTCCTTGCTCCTTTGCTCTCTCCCCTGGTTCTCCACATGTGCTTCTCTTTCTCCCTCTCTCCCCTCCTTCTCTCTGTCCTACACTGGCTCGGATGCAATAACAATCCTCTATCTCTGACTCTTCTGCTGCCTCTTCTAGTCTGGGTTTTCTCTCCCATAATCCTGCTAATTTTCTGCCCCTAGGTCTGATGACAGCGATTCCTCTGTCTCGGAGGTGCTGAGGTATAGACAACTTTCTATTTATTATCCCTTCCTCCTCCTCCTCTCTGTCTCACGAGTCTGCTCTCCCTTGTCCCTGCATGCTCCACCTGCACCTTGCTGCTCTCCCCCAACTCCTAGCTCGTGCGTGCTGTCCTCTGTTGGCATGCCACCTCTGGTGTCTGACGCTGTCCCCTCGGTTGCAAGTTTGAACTGTTCCTTCTCTGATTAGCCCTTGGACTTGTGATGCTGGGCTCACCTACAGGCACTGGCGGGTGGCAGCATGTTCTCCTCTACCTGTGATGGGTTCTCATCAGCATGATGCCACCATGTCCCATCCTGTTCCCCAGCTCTCCAGCAGGATGGTGTGATGCTGGGGAAGGGGGCAAGCAACCCTGGGCACTCTCAGTGTGTCCTTGCAAGTAAAGAATCTTCCAGGCAAATATCTCCATGTGCTTCCCACACCTGGTTGTGCTTCCCTGTGGGTAGGTAGATCTCCTTCCCAAAAAAAAACAAGTCAGATTGTGGTGCAGAGCTCAGCCTTGGGGTTAAGGTCCTCCTGGGCTTGCCCCACTGCACCCTCCTGCCGATGGAGGTTTCCCAATGTGAAGGCCACCTTTCCCCATCTTTTGGGAACATCAGCCCTCCAGCACCCAGTTGTCCACTCACACTGCCCATGCCCTGAGTTCCCTCAGGCACCCAGTCACTGGGGAGGTGGCACCAGAGTCTGTGCTGCTTCACCTTGGGCTGTTTGCAGTCCAGCAGCCCTGGGGAGCCAGGATTTCCATTTAGATTAGAAACACTAGGGGTCAGAGGAGGGCTGTTTAATTTGAGTTTGTAAGTGCAGCTGCTAACAGAAGGAAAGCTCACATGCATGTGATTTCCAAACCCAAATTAATGGCCCTGTGTTTGTCTTCATGACTAATGCAACTTTATGTGGCCTTGGGCCTGCCCTTCTCTAGTCCCGTGCCTCAGTTTCCCTGCCTATAAGAAGAGGCTAGCACAACCCAGGGCCCCATGGCCACAGGGAGGCTGTGCTTTGGGACACCACCTGGGAAGAGCTGTTGGTAGCCATGCACGCTAGGGTCTGGAAGGATAGGTCTAGAGGGGCTGGTTCTCAGCACCTCGAGCACTGCTGAAGTTGAGGGCATTGGCAGATGCTGTGTCCAGAGGGACAGGCAGCAAGTGTCCCTTGGAGGAAGGTTTGGCAGAGATAGGTCTTCTCCTGCCTGGAGCCAGTGGTGGGTGCAGGGCTTCCGCAGCCATTGCGACAGGGATGCTGGGTGCAAATGCTGGTGCTGTCCTTTGTCACCCTTCCGGTCTGATGTAAAGGAGTGGGGTCCTGTCTCCAAATGTCACCAGCCACAGGCTGACAGCCTCCAAAGAACTGGGGTGCTGGATATTGGTACCCTGAAACATTTGTCCCAGCAGAGCTTCAGGCTGGAGAAGATGCAGTTTGTCCCAAACTGACCTGAAGACCACTAAGCTAGGTCTCCTGGATCCTTGGGTCCGTGCTAGCCAGGCATGAGAGGTTCAGCAGGAGAACTGAGCAGCCCCTTTTTCCTAGTCTGTATTGCAGGGGGTAGAGGCAGTAGGCAAGGGCTGCTCCTGGGGAGATTCCTGGGGTTTCCATGAAGACCTTTCTTTGCTCAGACATGCTGGCTTCAGAGGTAGGGTCCCATCACCCTGCCGGATGGTGGAAGATGTTTGGGGTGAGGCAGTTCTTGCTTTCCCATGCCCCTGGGACTGTGTAGCGCGGTGCCTTTCCACACACACCCCACCATGCTTGTTCTTTCTTTCCCATGAAAGGGGCATCATTAACCCAGTGGGTGGCACCAAGAACGCCCGGACAGCCCCGCTGCAATGTGTCTCCGTGGCAGAAGGACACACCAAGCCTGTGCTCTGCCTGGATGCCACCGACGAGCTGCTTTTCACTGGGTCCAAAGGTGTGTGATGGACAGAGAGGGCGTGGGGAATTGCTGGCCTGCAGATGCTGTGGGAGCAGGTCGGCACAGGGGAATACGTGAAGTGCTGGGCACTGTGGGGATGGTTCCACCTGGGCCCCTTTCCTGTCCTCAGTGTCGAGCCTTGCCCTGCCCTACCCCAGTGCTGGGGCTGGCTGGCTCCTTTCCTTTGCCCCTGTGTGTGGTGGGAGGCAATGCTCAGAAGGGGTATTGCCCCCAAGCCACCATGCCCCCGGAGGGAGACACTCCCCCAGCCTGACACTCTTGGGCATGTTCTTCCTCGCAGACCGGAGCTGCAAAATGTGGAACCTGGTGACAGGCCAAGAAATTGCTTCCCTCAAGGGTCACCCGAACAATGTGGTTTCCATCAAGTACTGCAGCCACACAGGGCTGGTGTTCACTGTGTCCACATCGTACATCAAAGTGTGGGACATCCGGGACTCAGCCCGGTGCATCCGCACCCTCACGTACGTGGCAGGTGGGAGCAGCTGTGGGGGACCCTGGACACTCTGGGCATCTCTGGCTTTGCAGAAACCAGTCCCAAGGCCTGCTGGGGCTGGGGACAGGGCCAAGCACTAGTTGCTTTAGTGCCAGTTTGCAGTGCTGCATCCTTAGAGAACAGGGAGGTTGGGAGAGAGCTTGGGGTGAGGGGACCCCTGGGGACCTCCTGCAGCGAAGGCTCGGGTAAAGAGCTTTGAAAAGATTTGCAGCTACTTCCAGGGGTGGCCAAGAGAGCTAGTACCTCCACAGAGGAGGCACGGCCCCTAACAGCATCATGGCTGAGTAAATCACAGGCTCTCCAGTTTGGGAAACTCAGATTATTATGGGGAGTTTGAGGACCAGAAAGAAGCGTGAGACAGGCTGTAGCTGTGGTCTGCCGGTCTGGAGCAGGGCTCACATGTGAGGAGGGTATGGCAGGCCAGGGATATCAGCTTGTTCCAGCATACAGCTCCTTTCTCCATGCGGCCTCAGCTCATCTGCCTTGACCTGAAGGTGCTTCTCCCTTGGTGCAGAGGCCAAATACCTCTGCCTCCCTGTGCTGACTGCCAGCACCAGCCAGCTCTTCCTGCAGGAAGCAAAGAGGAATGGGAGGAGCAAAGAGCAGCCCTCAAACTGAAACCAAGTCAGGGTGCTCCATCCTATGCACACACCTGACATCCTTGGCTCCCTCTGCAAGCAGGGCACTGGCCTAGGGGACTGAGGTCTTAGATAATTCTATGGCTTTTCCCCGATGTGGGACACACCTGTGCCAGCCTGGAGCCAACAGCCCCATGTGGTTCATCAGTGGGGCCTCAGTGGCTCTGATCTCCACTCATCCTCCCCCGTTGACCTCTCTCTCCCTTAGATCTTCTGGACAGGTGATCTCTGGGGACGCATGTGCTGGGACCACCACCCGCACCATCACTAGTGTGCAGGGGGAGCACCAGATCAACCAGATTGCTCTCAACCCCACTGGCACCATGCTCTACGCTGCTACTGGTAACTCCGTCCGCATCTGGGAGCTGAGCAGGTGAGGGGTTATTGCTGGGGTGGGCAGGACAGCTTACAGATGCTGAGTGGACACTGTTGGCTCAGAGGGGCCTGAAATGACTCTCCCTTTAGGGAAAGTGAAAGCCTTTTTAGCAATGGAAATTTCCTGAAGTAAGGACTTTCAGGACCCTTTCCTATGGGACCCAAGGGATGATGAGCAGCAATGGAGCTACTTGGGGTGGGGGTGGGGGTGTCCGTGAGCTGGGCAGAGCTCAGGAGAAGACAAAAACGTGGGATGAGCAGCATGGTTTTGTCCTTGCCCAACTCCTTGCTGGGTGGTCACTGGGCTGCTGACCCCTTGCTGCAGCCTAGGCTCTGTATCCAGATGCTGGCATGTCCCAAGGCTGCCTTCCTCCCCCAGCATCGCTAGGAAGAGGGATGTCCCTGCTCACAGTCCCTCAAAAAGAACGATCCCTACTGGGGTGTTCCAGGGCTGTGGGCATCTCTGCCTGGGGGCAGCCCCTTGGAGGAGCTTTGGCACCAGGGAAGGGTCTGGCTGACCCATGTTATTGAACTCAGGTTGCAGCCCATCGGGAAGCTGAGTGGCCACATCGGGCCTGTGATGTGTCTCACGGTAAACCAGACGGCAAGCAACCACGACCTGGTGGTCACAGGCTCCAAAGATCACTACGTCAAGGTACTCCCCTCCTTGGAGAGCAGAGCCCTGTGTCCCAAAGGGAAGCCCAGATATTGGCAACCCCTAAAGTCTCTTCTTCCCTCCTGAGATCTGAGCCCAGATTCTGTTTTCACCTCTGTATGTGAGGTTTTTGCATATCTCCTTACCCCGAATCTTGCCTTTTGCTTCATCCACGATACAAATGCACCTTTGGAAATGGATTTGCATTTCTCAACCCTTGGGCTCTGTGGCTGCTACTTGCATGTTATGGCTGACCCAGATCAGCAGCTCACCCTGCTCTGCTCTGTTGTCCTTCTCGATACAATGCTTTGCACCTGCTTGTTCACAGCTCCAGCACAGCAAGAGCTCGCCCCTTCATTTTGTGTTTTTGTTGAGTTTGACCAGGCTGGTTTGGAGCTGGCACAAGGAGAATGAAGAGGGATAGTGAGATGATGAGGGAGGCAGGATTCCACTCTTCTGACAGCTGCAAGCTGTTAGCTTGGCTCATGGAGATGTGTGAAAGCTCGCCATGAGTAAAATGCAGCAGAATGGGGGGTGGTTTCTGGTGGCAGACCTCTCTGATGGTGGCAGGACCCCTGGAGAGACCTCAGCCCCAAGAAAGCCTCCACTGGCCAATGCCCATTCCCCTTTCCAGCATCACTCTGTGTGCCTTGAGCCTAGAAAACAGTGATAGCCATGTTTCCAAGAAAGGGTCAACTGTTTCCAGTTCCATCTGGGTTCTTTCATGCACTGTTTTTCCCCCAGGTGTTTGAGATTGCCGAGGGCATGGTGGGCAATATTGGCCCCACTCACAACTTTGAGCCCCCTCACTATGATGGCATCGAGTGCCTGGCCATCCAGGGAGACATCCTCTTCAGTGGCTCCAGGGACAACGGCATAAAGAAGTGGGATCTGGAGCAGCAGGAACTTATCCAGGTCTGGAGGGGAGCATACAGCACAGGTCCTTGGGGGAACACGGGGCAGAAGAGTATTGCTGCTGGGGGTGTGTGGGACACCTTTGTTCAGGGACCTGGTGCCAGTGTTCTGCATTAAGCTAGCCAAGGAGGGTACTCCCATTCCTAGGAATCTGGCAGTGCATGTGTGAGGTGGCTCTGTACCCCTTTAAGTTTGTGCTGTAGGGCACTCAGGATTGCTAGCTCCCCCAGCACACAGGGTGCGCCATCAATTGCAGTGCTGGATGTTGTGTTCCTTGCTAAAGACAAGATTGATGTCTCCTGCCCAGGGGACAAAGGAACTTTTGAATCCATCCCCTTGGCCTCCTAACTTTGCATCACTAGCCCCACAGTCCAGATCAGCCCTGGGGCGACAGTGGGAATCTGAGCCTCCCAGGTTGGGTGCATGAGGCTGCTGGTGGTGCTGCAGATGAGGTTGGTGATAATCTCTGCTCTGTGCCCGTACCTACAGCAAATCCCCAATGCCCACAAAGACTGGGTTTGTGCCCTGGCCTTCATCCCTGGCCGCCCCATGGTGCTGAGTGCTTGCCGAGGAGGCGTGATCAAAGTCTGGAACGTGGACACCTTCACTCCGGTTGGGGAGATCAAAGGGCATGACAGCCCCATCAATGCCATCTGCACCAACTCAAAGCACATTTTCACTGCCTCCAGGTGAGCCCTACGCTTTCTGCTCCCCAGAGCCCCTGGGAGGTGGGAGCCCCCTGGGTTGAACTGTCATCCCCAGGCCTGGGCGGGTTTACGCTGAGTGGACAGGGAGCAGGGAGGGAGGGAAGAGGGGAGCCTTGCAGTATTCTAGTCCCTCCACCCCTTCATCTCATCTTGCCCACCTTAGCCTGCCCCGTGACACAGCCTGCCCACTGCAGTGCCAAGAGCTATTCCCCTGGCCGTCCCCTGCCCACACTCTGGTGATGCCCCGGGCTATCCCCCCACTCAGGGACCCCTCTCCCCTGGGGCTGGGCATCCTCTGCTGCTCTTGGGGAGCTCTTTGGCAGCAAGACTCTGATATCCTCTTTTCGACCATGTCCCTTTTCTCCCTTCCTTTTTCTCTGTCTCTCTCTGTCTCTCCTCCTCCCTACCTCCCATCTGTGCCACAGTGACTGCCGGGTAAAGTTATGGAATTACGTGCCTGGGCTCACCCCTTGCCTTCCACGACGCGTCCTTGCCATAAAGGGCCGTGCTACTAGTCTGCCTTGACCCTCCTGCTCTTTTTGAATCTCTTGCTCATGCACTCTTCTTCTGTCTTTTCTTTCCTTGTGTCTTTCTCTCCATCTCTTTCTCCCTCTGTCTTTCTCTCTGTTGCTTGCTTTTGCTCCTCTCTCTTTTTCTTTCTTTTTCTGTGGTCTGAGCTGCTTCTTCACGGTATGAAACTTTTGCGTTTTTCCCCACTTGATAAAACTTTGCTAGAAGTGACTTGCCCCTTTGTCCCAGCCATACCCCTGCATTGTTTTGGTTTGCTTTTTTTTTTTCCTTGCCGAGTGCCCACATCTACTGTGGCAGCTCCATGGAAGCCGTGGCCTGCCCTCACCCTTGCATGGATGGTGGGATGGGAGTCAGCAGCCACCCCCAAAGCAGCCCATGCCCTGGGGAGACCAAGCATAGCAGCTCCCTGCCGTGTCACTGCTTTGACCTAATCAGAGCTCGTTCAAAGGGTACAGGAGTCCTGATGTCGGGGTCAGCCCTGAGGGTCACTTTTTCCCTTTGTCCCAACTGCTGCCAGTGAGGTGAGCTGGAGGCTGAGCCCCACTGGGCCTGCCTGCTCCCCAAAACTGATTGGGCAACCTCCTGCCAAGAGAAAAGGGCCTGTAAGTCTTGTGGGCTGCATGCTGCCATGGGCTGGGGGTGGGAGGCATTTCTCCTTGCAGTGCCCCTCTGCAGTGTGTCTGCAGGGCTCCTGCAGGAACCCCTGGGTCATGCTGTCCCTCTCACCTTTGTTTCTCAGCGACTTGACAGTGAAGCTCTGGAGTGGGAGGAGGCTACCCATGGGGTCAAACTAACAACTGCAAAAAGACTGGAAGACATGACAGGAGGGTGAAGGTCAGGGTACCTCTCCCTTGCTATCGAGACCCGGTCATCTACAGGAGCTCAGCCCAGGGATAGGGATTTCCTTGTACCTGACCCAACGGGGTGGACGATGTCCCATCTGGTACTTTGAGCACTGCCAGCTCCTGTGAGGAGGCAGCTCTGTGGGACACCATCAGCTCCACCTTCCCTCCTGCTGAAGTTTCTTGATGGTTTTCCAGTGACTAAGAAATGTTTCATCTCTCTTCTCACCCACACTGCTGTAACGCCAGCCAGGACTTCTTGAAGGTCAAAGCTCCTTGGCTCCTTCTGAGACACTCAATTCCCTTCTGCCACCATGGGCTCATGTGGCCTCCACTGAGATGTGCTGCTTCTGTCCCTGTTGGCTCTGGGGCTGGTTCCTGCAGGAATCTTTTCTCTGCTCGATGGCCACAAGGACATTTGGTGTCTGCTGCTTCTTTGGAGACGTTACTTGTGGGACAGCCTCTCTGCTGTGGGGGGCCTGCTGAAGGTTTTCCAGGTAGTCCCATCATTTCCCATAGTCCGTCTACCTGTCCCCAGCAGTTGGAGGTGTGCACCTCTGAGCCCCTTTGCCATGTCCCTGCTCTGGAGGCATAGCAAGCCTGGGAAGATCTCCATCCACCAACTTCCAGACAAACCTGCTGGCGGTTCCCTTTGATGTTCTCCAAACCCCAGTCATAAGCTCAGCTGACCCATGGCTCTTGGGCTCCTCTCTGTGTGCCCACCCTGCTCTGCAGTGGGGAAGGGTTGCTTGGCCCTGCTCTTGACACCTTGGCTCTCAGCAGGGTTCTTGTGGTAGATTCCTTCTGCATGTTAACCCCCTTGAGACGGAGAAATGAAGCAAGAATGGAGGTTACAGGGCAAAGAAGACAAGCTGGATTTGTCAACCCCACCCCTGTGGCCTATCTTGTTTTGTCATCACTGGGAGCTGGAAGCTGTAAGTCCTTCCCCTGGGCACTGCTCTCAGCCCTCTACCTGGGAGGGGGTTAGCTCAGGTTTGGGCTGTCAGCCCCCGTGGATCCAGGAGCCGGAGAGGGCCCAGCAAGGCACAGGGGAGCTGTAGGATGGGCTGGGTTGGAGTCAGATGTGCTGGGAGCAGGGTGAGTAAGGGGTTGCACACACTGGTCTTGCACAAGTGCCCTGATTCACCACACGTTTGAAGGGCAGTGCTGCAGTGGATGATCTCTCACAGTCCCATCTCCATGAAAGGCCGGGGGCTCCATCCAGGAGTGCTTCCACAAGGACACGGATTCTCCAGGCTCCCTACTCCCTCTCTCCTATTCAAGGGGCTGGCAAGGCCCTCGTCTCACACTGGAGCTTTCCTCCATCTGTCCTGTGGCCTGTTGGACCATCCCCTGCTCTGTCCTGCCCTGGGCCAGGCAGGACTTCTCACGGGATAGCCGAGGAGACCCCAGAAGTGTTGCTCTTGCCTCACATACTCTCATTTCCTGTCTGTCACAGAAGCAGCAGCGTTTGAACTCAAATTTAAGGATTTTTCCACATGATCCCACTAGCACTGAACTGGGATCTCAGAGGCCAGAGGCTCCAGGACCTGCCCCATAAAAGCACAGACCGTTTCCCCTCTGCTTTCTCCAACCATGGTGACTTGTGGACCAGCCCCAGATCATTTGCCACCAGCCTTTGTTAAAACCATTCCGGGTGGAGTGTGTACATTCCTCTGCATCCTGAAAGACAGGACTATCTCTATTGATTTGATGGGAGGGGTTGCCTTTTAGGGGGGGGAAAAACCCCATCCTACTGGCTTGCCTTGGCGGAGGGCGTGATGGCACGTGCGGGTGTGACTCTGCCCAGGACAGTGACTGGTCCCTGGTGATCCTGGCTGAGCCCTGCACAGCCCGGGACTGCAGCCGGTGGAGATGTGGTGCCAGTGCCAGCTGCTATGGGCTGGGTGACCTGCAGAACTGGAGGGGGCAAACAAAATTGCACGGGGCACCACGGCTGCCAGGGTAGCACAGATGTAGGAGGCTAGAGGAGGTGTTACGCTCTAAGCCTGTCTTGGAGGGGGTTTCCCTGCTTGTTCCTCAGCCAATTTAACCTTTCCCTGGCCAGAGGGGAGGTGTGTGTTTGACTGTGTAGCCGTGTATACCCTATGCATCTGTGTCTGCACCAAGATCTACCAGTGCCTGGCCTGAAACCTCTCGCTGCTCCCTGCTGCAGTCGGTGCAGGGACCTGCTCTTGGGGGGCTTGCGGTCACACCTGTCTCATCTTTCGCCACCTTTTTCTTCCTGTGCGTAGGCTGCAGGTCCTGCTTAATTTCCCAGGGCTGAGTAGCCAATCCTGGATGGTGCTGAGCATCCAGCAGCACACTGAGGTGGCTTCAAGGCTTTCACAGCCTGCAGGTGGAGGGAGCTGGGGGTATTGTGGCACAACAGCAGGGGTCTGGAGAAGGAGGTCTTTGAAGCAAGGGGTGACTGTGATCCCATATTCCTCTGTGTGTGTGTGTGTGTGTGTGTTTATGTCTTAGTATCTGTGTGGGTTGGTATTTTCCATGCAGGAGAGCGTTTCTCGAGTGTTAATCTGGTTTAGCTACCTCACGGTGCAAGCTGGGTGCTGTCATCATTGGGTTTTGTTTTGGGGATGAGGTGGGGAGTTTATGGTCTTAATTTTTTTTCTCTTAACTATTGTTATTGTTATGGTTTTGACACTTGAATTTGTCCTGGGGACACGTGGCCTCACCCTCACCTCACTGCATGTCTGAGCCTCCCCTTGTGTTCTCTTCCCTGCCTCCTGCTGGATAGCACAGCAGGACCAGCATCCTGCTCTCCCCCGTGCTCCCAGCTCTCACCTTTGCAGTGGGATCCCCCAGCTGGGTCTCAACACTGATACTTTGGTCCCGTTGCTGGTGGGATGCTTGGCATTGTTGCCGTTAGCTGTTGGGTTGATTTGCAGCCTGGAGGTGGTCCCGCTGGTCCCTTTGAAGGATGGAAAGGGACCTCTGAAAGGCTCAGCTCAGCCTGTATTCCTGCTTCTGCTCTTACAGATGTTCTCTGTGGATGCAATGAAGCCCTTCTTGTCTGGGTGATGTCCATGCAAAGCACATTGCTGGAACGGGCTGGTCCTAGTCCTTATTTTCCAGAGCCTGCTGTAATTCGGCAGCAGCCTGAAGCAGCAGGGAACTGGTCCTGTAAATGCCTCTGTCCAGGGTGGGGATGGTCTGTGAGAGAAGCTGCTTCTTGTGTGTGATGTTTGATTTTTCACCCCCAAAATGTAGTTGAACCTAGATCCTGTCCCAGGCACTGAACATAAACCAGCGTAACTCTGGAGCCTCCAGATTACTCCCTACTTGGGGCTGGGGAGCTGGCACAGGACTGTACCCCAATCCCCTGGCACAATGGGGTTTGGGAAGGGGCTCGTAGCTCTGAGCCATGCTGTCAGTTTGGGGGGGCAGCTTCCCCTAAATACTAAAGCACAAGGTCCTACTATACAGGTGGTCTAGCAAGGGTGGCCCCTTGGACTCTGGTCCTTCAGAGCTCAGACTGGGGCGGTGGGTTTGGACAACCAAGGTGGAGGTGGGGCTGGGGATGATGGTGAGGGCTCTTTGCTGGAGGAAGCAGGTGAGATGTTTCACCCTTTTGCACTGTGTAGGGGTGCTCCCCTGGGGCTCAGGACTTGCACTGCTGCCTAGCTTAAGTCCCTTCTTGTGGTCTCTGAACCCCTCTGCCAGCCCCTCCATTGCAAGGACAGTTTGGAGCTGTTTTTACACCATGCACCTCGTTTTGCTTCACCCTTGGGTGCCTTGGTTTGTGCCAAGGATGTGATGATACCTGCTGTCCCAGGAGGTCCTTGCCTTCCTCAGATCACTGGGTGATGATTTTGTCCCTGGGCCCTGACCATTGCTCTGTGTGTCTCTTCCCTCCAGCACACTGGGGCCAGCTCCAGCCTCTGCTGAGGGTATAATGCTGGCCCAGAGCTGAGCATTGCACACAAAAGGGTGGAGATGACTCAGGAGCCCAAAAGCACTGGGCCCTCAAACCACTGTGAGCCCGCCCAGGGAGCCTGGGCTCTGCCCCCTCCCTGGCCCCCACAGCTCTTATGGCACAAAAGGACAGGCTGGCAGTGCATCTCTCAGTCTGGCCAGCTGCGAGGAGCTGGAGCACAAGGGGCCCGTCTCTGCCAGGTATGTTGTTCCTCCCCAGCACCTCTGAGCACAGCTGCTTTGGGGTCTGGGATGCTGCCTCCTGCCTTGGTACTGTAGAACCAGTGCCTGCTCCCACAGGTGCTCGCCCAGTGCCCTTGTCCCAGTCCTTCCCCTGTCCCATGATGGACAGGGTGCGGGTACAAACCCTGCAGAGCACAGGGTTCCCAGTTGCTTTTCAGCAAGCTCACTGGAGCTCTGCTCCGTCCTGCAGGCTGCATGCCCTCCTGAGCCCCCTTCACCCTCCTGGGGAGGGAATGGGGGCCCTGGCCCTGGCCTCTCCACATTCTGCACGGTGCTCCACCTGTAACTGGGTGGGAGCCCAGCACACACCCCATCCCCTAGACCTTGTCCTGGCCTCCTGGGCCTCATCCCCAGAAAAGCACATGCCTGCACCTTCCTCCTGTCCCAGGGGCTTGTCCCCTCATCTGTAACGGCTCTGCCCTGGTGCCTGCCAGCTGTTCTGCATCCCCCACATCTCTAAACCACCCAGTACCCTCCAGTCCAGCCCTGTGGCAGGGCTTGGGCAACTGCAGCGTTGTGTTGCCTGCTCTGTCACCCCTTCCCGCTGCACAAGTATCACAAATAGCAGGTGCCTTTTCTTGTTTGGAGCTGTTTTCTAGAGGCCAGCTCTTATGAAGGCTTTTTTTTCTCTGCTGGGTCATGCAACCCAGCCCCGTGGTCTGGGTTTGTCAGAGGACAAGGTGTGTACGTATATTTTATACCTCGATGTGTTCCTGTAAATAGTGTAAGTTATTTTGGTCTCATGATGTACATGTTTTTTCAATGGCTGTGTTTGTTCCTTGCCTTTTTGTCTTCACAAATAAAACACACTGAGATTAAGTGACTGAGCGGAGATGACTTGGAAGAGAGGAAGAGCACCACCTGTCCCACCATGATGCACCTGACAGAGGAGCTGAGGGAAAGGCTGGGTGAGCTGATGCTGCTGCAGCCCTTCAGCCCCTACCACGTGTCACGAGAAGGTGACTTGCATCCTTCCAGGCACTGAGTCCTCAGGCACACACGGCAGCTGCGATTGCACTGGGGGAAACTTCAGGGGCTGAGGTGGAAAAAGCACAGACCTATCCAGGCTGGCTCTGCCCTTCTCTCCTGGTGAGGAGGAAGAGGGGAGGAAGGGGTCCAACCAGGTGTCAGCCAACCCCCCGCCAAAGTCAGAGCATCCCCATCCCTGCAGCATCGCATCACCCCACCACAGGCATCTCTAGGTCCCCGAGCTGGCAGGGCCCTGGGGCTGCAGAAGGGTGCTGTGGGGCTCAGGTGCCTGGCCCCAGGCCCCCCAGGGCAGCCGGCTCCCCTGGGGCTGGGGTCATCGGGCAGAGGGGCTCCCTGGGGCCAGTGACCATCCAGCTGTGACCAAGGGGGACCCTGGGGACAGCCGGCAGGTGGCAGCCCCGGCTGTGGGACAGCGGTGCCCGGGGCTTGGCAGAGCTGCTGGAGTGGGGAGCAGCAGGGTCTGTGTCCCCCCTCGAGCTGCCCAGATCCAGGTGGGGATGCAGGGGATGTAACCCCGGTGCCAGCCCACTGAGCACCCAGAGGTGACCGGTGCCAACACCAGCCTGTTCCCCCTCCAGACACTGGAGACACCAACCCGCCCCGGGTGCTGCAAGGTGGGGAGGGGGGCAGCGAGCTGCACCCCCAACGCCGCCAGGCAGGGCCTCAGCCCCAGCAACCGCCACTTTCTCTTCCCCAGCCAGCCAGCACTGGTTAAACTGGTCGGACAGAGCAGCTGAGCAGGGAGCCACCAGCCACAGGCTGTGTCTGCGCTGACCCCCCCGGATGCGGTTCCTCCTGGCACACACCGCACTCTGCATGGAGAGCACCCCACACCCTGCTGCTGCTGCTGTGGGGTGACGGCTGGGGGCCCCATAACCCTGGGCTCAAAACCCACCTTGCAGGGCTCCTGAGAGCTGTGCTAACGGTGTCTGGGGAGAGCTGGCGGTGCCCAGAGCCATACCAGTCCCTAGCACTGCATCCTGTGTCACCCTCAGCCTGTGCCATGGCTTGTCTCAGTGTGAGTCTCCATACCCACTGCCACAGCACAGTCCTGCCAGGGCGAACAGGATCTGTGGGGCAACAAACGTGGGGGTATCACAGGCCCGATTACTCCTGGCAGGGCATGTAACAGCAGTAGCATCCCCCTCCCGCCTGACGTCCCAGCCACTCACTGCACCATAGGTACCTTTTCTTGGTGGCCCTCATGTCATCTACTCCCTCCAAACTCATGACCACCTCTTTCTTACTGCAGCAAGACACTAAGCCGTCTGGCAGCACCCTCTGCTATGCTCCCCACAAGCATGAAGGCGCCCTGGGAGCTTGTACCAGCAGCAAGGGGACAGCAGGGACACTTCCCTGCAAGCTGTCAGCTCTGGCAATGAGATTATGGCAGCTCTCTGCCACCAATCCTCAGGCTCAAGGAGGAGTTGCCCTGAGCCCATCAGTGCTGAAGCTGCTCCTCAGCAGTGAAGAGTCCCATGGGCACCATCCAGCAGCTTGCTGATGACCTGTGGGTCTTGGGGGGGGGATGGGGATCACCCCAGGAGAGGCTGATGCTCTCTCATACTCTTAGCACAGTGTCTCAGCATTGCCGGGGAGTGTCCCCCACTGTGATCATCCCCCCCCAGCCCATTACAGGGCCTGGGTTGTGGCACATCAGTGGGGCAGATGGGCAGGAAGGCAGTTTCTCCAGGTGACTAAAGCGGGAGGGTGCCTGCAGGGTGTTGGGAAGGATTGCTCAGGTCCACTGGCCTGCTGGCTCCCAAACACAACAGGGAGGAGGAGTCGGAGGGCTCCCAGCACGTCAGGCACATTTAAGGGGCTGGGAGATGTCACCCACCAAGGGCACCTCTTCCATCGGTGGCATAGCCCAGGTGCATGGACTGACTGTGGCACTTTCCCAGGGTCTGCTGTGGGCCTTGAAAGGTGGAGACCTGGGAAACAGGATGCTCAGTGTGGTCCATGCCAGAGAGCCCCATCAGGCATCTGATCAGATCCCCCAGGCTGAGCGAGAGCTGTGGGTGGGCTGGGCAGGACTTGGGCAGGAGACTTCTTAGTGTGTGGTGCAGGGCATGCTGCAGAGCTGTCATGTCCCACTCTGCTCCAGAGACACCTGCATTTCAGCAGCGGGTGGTAAACACTTCCCCAGGGGCAGGTTTCTAACCACAAGCACTGTAAGTACAGTCAGGCAGCCAGGTCCCCAGGCACAGTGGAACCCCGGACTCAGCTCCTGGCTGAACACAGGCTTAAGGTTCCATGTCTGCCCAGCACTCATGTTTTCCTCTGTGGCCTTGGCTTTCCCAATGGCCGCAGTGGCAGGGGCTGCTCCCGGGCGTGGGGACATCCCTGTGCACTGTGGGATGCTGTGCCCAGAAAACAAAGGGGCCTGGCAGTACCCAGCACTCGTGACTGTGCCGTGGAGGAATGAAGCTGGGGCAGGTGATCAGCTAGTGTGAGCTGGTACCTCCTGGCTGGCACACTGGCCCTGCCTGCCCTGGGGCCACAGCATGGAATGGCAGGTCAGGGTGACGTGACAAGGGGGATTGGGGCACACAGCCACCCTGCCCACGGGCCAAGCTAGAGCATCCATATTTGTGACAGTCTGTCACCACCTTGTCACAGGAGGTGGTTTGCTACCAGGCACCAATTTGAAGTGGCAAGGACCTAGAGGTGGCTCTGTGATGTCAGGGTCTGCCCTGCTCACGCAGTTCCCCGGGTTTGTGCCAGCCCATCTGTGGTATGGATGTGGCTGGCTTGGCAAAGTACCAGCACCAGGCAAATGGTGCCAGGTGGTTGGGTTGGGCTGGCCTGGGGCTCTTGTGACAGCACAGGGCTAAAACCAGCATGAACATAACCGGACAGGGTCCCAAGAGTCACAGGGGTAAGAGCCACCAGAAGGTAATTCCCCAAACGCATCCCGCAACCTTGCCTTGTCCCCTGGCATGTGTCCCTGGTGAGTGTACGTGTCTGCCTGTGCCAGGCGCTTGTGAAATGGCAAGGAGTGGGCTGTCACAGCTCTGCAGCCCGTCCCAGACCTCCCTGCAGGCAAAAATGGACCCATCCTAACAGAGAGAACAGCAATACTCGGGTACCTGCCTGGTCTCTGCTCCATCCCCACACAGACCATCCCCAGCATCTGCCCTGCTCGGTCGCTGGGTCCTTCCTCCCCCTTTGGAAGAAGTTGTGCCTGCGCCAGACTGGGGAGCAGCAGAGCCTGTGCTCCAAGCACCCACTGGGCTGGCCTCCCGAGCAGGGGGATGCCACACGGCTGGGTGGGCGCTCGGGGCAGCATCCCAGCCCCCTCTGGCGGGGGCAGAGCCCCCCGGGAGGGATGCCCAGCCCCCGGGCCCTGCTCTGAGCCCTACCGGGTGTGTTTGCTTGGCAGCAGGAGCGGAGCAAACCCGCTGCTGTGAGCAAACAAACACGAGCCAGGCAAACAGCAGCGAAGAAAACACCCCGCGAAGACGGTGTGGGTGAAACTCTGGGCACCAGCAGGGCAAGGGCTCTGACAATGATTAAACTGGCCAACCCAGATTTCCCGGCAAGGCAGCGCTGGGCTGGGACCCGGTGGTTCATATTATGCAAATCACCTGGATCTGGGAGCATGAACGTTTCAGGCTGGAATTCCCCTCGGGCCGCCAGATCGCATTACCCGCCTGCTCTATAAAAGAGGAGACTGGGGCAGGGCTTGCCCATCAGCACCAGCCTCCCCGGGCCCATGAGCAGTGGCTAGTGGCCGGGCAGGCTGTGCTCCGTCTTTCCTCGCTGCTCTCTGGATTAGCTGCCCCTCCCAGGATTGCCATCACAGAAGGTACCAAAGCTTTTTCGTCCGGGGCCTGTTGATGTTCCTGAGCCCAGCACGGCTGCTTTGCTTCCCTCCCTGTGTATCTTCGCTCTCACCAGGGGGATGCACTTGGTCTTTTCTCGCTGCACGCCTGTTCTCCCAGCACCTCTGCCAGCCCTTCCAGGGGGCCAGTGAGACGGCAGTCTGGAGGGGCGCCCCCCCTCCGGCCCCCAGCTTTTGTCAAGCAAACAGCAAGATTTGGCTCTTCCATGAGGGCCTGGCAGGGGCTTGTCTCCTCCTGGCTGCACAGTTTCTGGGATGTGCTTCTTGCAACTGGTTGAGAAGGACTGGAGCTGCCAACACCGGCGTCCCTGCAGCAGGCTGTGCCAGCCCCAGCACTGCTGTGCTGTGGGCTTGGGGGATGCTCTCAGTGGCTGAGTGCCCTGCGGCGCCCGGCCCCACGGAGGGGCTGTGCAACACCATTCTCTGCAAGCCACCTGCTCACTGTCCCTTTGTGTTGGCTGCCAGTGGGGCTGGTGAGGCTGGGCTGCTGGGGACTGGGCTGTTCTGCAAGCACTGTGATGCTGTGTCCCCAGTTTGCTTCAGCTCAGCCTCCCTCACTCCTGGCCCCTGGGGCGGTGGTGAGTCAAGCGGGTGCTGGGTGGGTGTTTCTGCAGAAGTGAACTGAGAGGTGATGATGGGTGGAGGGAGGGAAAGCCCAGCCTCACCCAGCCTAGTCCCAGAGATGCTGCAGGCTCAAGCGCCCCCCACCCACATCCCCGGGGCCCGGGCTCACTGTCATCTCTCAGCACAGAGCTTGATGGCGGGATCTTGCGAGATCAGCAACATCTTCTCTAACTACATCAGCGCCATGTACCAGCCAGAAGAAGTGCAGCCGACCCTGAACATGCTGGGACACCTTGAGGACGACAGCACCCTGGGGCTGAGCCTCCCCGCCAGCCAGCCCCCAGCGCAGAGCACAGGTAGGATTGGGGGTGCGGTGGTGACTGCTCAGGGAAGTCAGTGCGCAAGGCAGCAGCCAGGC